GATGCATCAGGGTCTTTGTGAAAAAAAGCCTGAATTTTCAGGGTTCCTAAAAAAAAAGCCTGAATTTTCAGGGTTCCGAAAAACAAAAGCCTGAATTTTCAATCACATCATGCAATTGTGCAAGAGAGTAGCTTTTATGAACATGTTAGTAGAGGGATTTGAACCGGAAACCTTACCATTCGGTATCTACTTCGCTTACCACTAAGCGTTCATCGGGTCAGCAATCAGTATTTTTTTAAACAAGATTTTATTATGTGGAAATGTTGGTTATTGTCTCGGGTGTTTTACGGGAAGGATTCGGAATGTGCATTCAGTGTACACTTCGATAAAAGTCTGAAACATCAGTGTTAGCTATGAAGTAAAGGCTGAAAAAATCAGTGTCACAAAAATCTCAACACTGAAAATTCAGTGTAGGTACACAAAACTAGGCTGAAAATCAGGAATTTCAGGGGAAAATTCCTGATATCGTAGGGCCTGTACGGTACCCATACCCTGCCTGCACCATAGTTTTAATCATGCCTTCTGTGTCATGCAGATGCAGTGCTGTCAAACACCTCAAGAACAAAACAAAGGACGATGTTCAGCCCACCAAATTGGTATATAAAAACAAACCGACAGACATATACAAAAAGAATAAAAGTAACAGCCCACCAAGGTTGTTTCACACTCAAAAGAAAGGAAAGATGTTCGGCCAACCAAAAACCTGTAAACAGCCCACCAAACTAGAAAACAGCCTACTAAAACACAGAAACGATACTACTCTGATGCACACCCCAAAGGAGGGAATGAAACCAACGAGTCAAAAGGTATTGGCCTCCCGAAGATTTTGGGCCCCCTGTGGACCATGGAAGCTCTTTTCTTTCTCCTGCTGGTGCACCTTCACTTCTTTCCTTCAACTTGACTCGAGGTCTTCATTATGCCGCCCTTCAGCCACACCTTTCCCAGGAAGGGCCCAGCAAACTCAAGCTCGCACTCCTGCATACAAAGGACAATGAATGGCAGAAAATGGGCCACAGAACCAGCACAGCAAGATACACGTATAAGAGTCCCGATGATAGAACACGAGGTAAGTAAAAGGGCAAAGAGATTGAAGTGTGTGGAGGAAAAGGTGGGGGAGAAAGGGAAATTGGTGGCGGCATGTGGGAGATAGATGGTACGAAGCAGGGGGGAGGGGAAAGGAAGGGGTGAGAGAGAAGGGGTGAGGGTGGAGAGAGGAGAGGGGGAGGAGGGGGGGGGGAGGGAAACAGGTTATGTACTTCCAATCGCACGTACCTATTACGGAGCCCAGTATTCAATGCCCCCTTGTTTACGGGTGTAATCTACGTTGGCAGCAGTAAGACACGTGCTGCAGTCCACCACGGATAACCAGGCAGAGCTCCGGCAGTGCACCATGAGACACTCGAGCGTGCTTGGGCCTGCAAGGAAGTTGCAACACCAATAGGTACGAAGCCCTTAGGAGTCAGGACCATAGATTTGGTAAGAAACAAGGTATGGTGCTACTAGCCCTGGGGAGGAAGAGAGGGAGAGAGAGGGGGCGAGAGAGGAGAAGGTGCAAGAAAAGGGCGAGAGAGAGGGAGAATAGGCGAGAGAGGGGGGGGCGAGAGAGGGAGAAGGGGCAAGAGAGGGGGCGAGGGAGAGAGAGAGAAGGGGCGAGAGGGAGGGCGAGAGAGAGGGGGGGGAGAGAGGACATAAAGAGCGAATGCGCAATTGTAGGGTGGCAGATTGCACTTACAAGTTCCAATTCCACCGATATTCATACATACTTCACCGGAACCACAACGAATGACTGCGCATGTTCCTGGAGAGAGAGAGAAGGGGGAGAGAGAGTGAGAGAGGGAGAGAGAGAGGGAGAGAGAAGAGAGAAAGAGAGACAGGAGGGGGAGAGGGCGAGGAAAGTGAACTACTATAACAGGGAAATGAAAGTGAACATGAGTGCTTTGCAGAAATGGAGGAATTTAACAAACAAGCACAGTACGCACCTGTGCAAATGCCATTGTGCAGTACATATCCTGGTGCACATTTACAGACTGCGCCACCACTCGTGTCGACACATACTTCAGATTCGCTATTACAAGGGTCGGAGGCGCCTGTTCCTGGCAGAAGCGAGGGAGAATGGAAAGTATATTTGAGAGTGGGGTACGCCATGTACGCCATGTGGGGCACATGCGCCCTCAACCCTTTGTAGTAGTTTTGAGAGTCGCATACAAAGAGCTGGACAGACCATGTAGAGAGATGGGTGGATCCATTCAAATTAAGACAGCATGAGCGTGCAGGAAGAATGTGAGGCAGACAAAGACACACATACCTTGACAATTCGGCGGCGCGCCTGTGTATTCGGGCTCCCTGCAAACGCATTGTCCCCCGTGATCCGTTTCTTTGCAAAGTTCGAAGGGTCCACACTTCGTGAATATGCATTGCGCTGGCAGTAGGAGAATTCATCAGCGAGGGAGAGAAGGATGGGGAGGAAGAGAGAGAGAGAAGGATGGGGAGGAAGAGAGAGAGAGAGAAGGATGGGGAGGAAGAGAGAGAGAGAGAAGGATGGGGAGGAAGAGAGAGAGAGAGAAGGATGGGGAGGAAGAGAGAGAGAGAGAAGGATGGGGAGGAAGAGAGAGAGAGAGAGAAGGATGGGGAGGAAGAGAGAGAGAGAGAAGGATGGGGAGGAAGAGAGAGAGAGAGAAGGATGGGGAGGAAGAGAGAGAGAGAGAAGGATGGGGAGGAAGAGAGAGAGAGAGAAGGATGGGGAGGAAGAGAGAGAGAGAGAAGGATGGGGAGGAAGAGAGAGAGAGAGAAGGATGGGGAGGAAGAGAGAGAGAGAGAAGGATGGGGAGGAAGAGAGAGAGAGAGAAGGATGGGGAGGAAGAGTGAGAGAGAGAGAGAAGGATGGGGAGGAAGAGAGAGAGAGAGAAGGATGGGGAGGAAGAGAGAGAGAGAGAAGGATGGGGAGGAAGAGAGAGAGAGAGAAGGATGGGGAGGAAGAGAGAGAGAGAGAAGGATGGGGAGGAAGAGAGAGAGAGAGAAGGATGCGGAGGAAGAGAGAGAGAGAGAAGGATGGGGAGGAAGAGAGAGAGAGAGAAGGATGGGGAGGAAGAGAGAGAGAGAGAGAAGGATGGGGAGGAAGAGATAGAGAGAGAGAGAGAAGGATGGGGAGGAAGAGAGAGAGAGAGAGAAGGATGGGGAGGAAGAGAGAGAGAGAGAAGGATGGGGAGGAAGAGAGAGAGAGAGAGAAGGATGGGGAGGAAGAGAGAGAGAGAGAGAGGATGAGAGAGAGAAGGATGGGGAGGAAGAGAGAGAGAGAGAGAAGGATGGGGAGGAAGAGAGAGAGAGAGAGAGAGAGAGAGAGAGAGAGAAGGATGGGGAGGGAGAGAGAGAGAAGGATGGGGAGGGAGAGAGAGAGAGAGAGAGAGAGAGAGAGAGAGAGAGAGAGAGAGAGAGAGAGAGAGAGAGAGAGAGATAGAAAGGGGGGAGGGGGAAGGGGGGAAAGGCGGCTGAGGAAAGAGTGCTGGCAAAACACCACTGCTAATCATGGCATCCATAAGCAGGGTTTTTTGCATGGCTTGTCAACAAAGATAGATGGGCTACAAACAACCTCCGAATCACAGGACGGGCTCCTCTCCTTCTGTATCGTGCTCTCTACACTATCTTGTACACCCTTTTGCATACATAATACAGAGAGCGTGTGTGTGAAGGTGACAGGCTACGTACGCGCGCAGGTGTGAGAAGAAACGCGCTTGTATCCAAACTTGCATTGACAGTATGACATGTCATCTCGCTCCACACACTCGTCGTTGAGACTAGGGATGAGCAAGGGGCGAACACGAACATGTTCGTGTTCGCCCCTACACGAACACATTCGTTTGCCGAACCGAACACTGTTCGGTTCGGCGAACACTTTAAGCAAAAACAGGTGTTTGCCGTTCGCCTGTGAAGGCGTGTTCGGGCGAACCTCGAACACGTTCGTGTTCGTCGCGGGGCAAATTGCAGCAGCGGCCCGAACACGAACGTGTTCGGGCGAACCTCGAACACTGTTCGGCGAACAATTTAAGCAAAAAAAACAAACCTGTTCGGTTCGCCTCGAACACGTTCGAGGCGAACCGAACAGGTGTTCGCCCTTGTGCTCATGTCTACTTCCTCCCTAACCCTCGGTAAGAGACAGATCACAAGTGTTGTTTTGTGGCTCCTCAAAGCTGTCGAGAGATTGCGACCAAATCTGCCTTTTGTGTCGGTACTTAGCATACCTCTTCATTGATGTTGCACTAAATTATCTTACCTCTCATCCCCTTCCTATCTACCCCTCTCTCATCCCCGTTTCTCGCCATCTTCCCCCGATTTGCACTCTCTTCACCTCTCTTCACCTCTCCACCTTTCTCCCTTTTTATGTCCTCCATCCCTCTTTCAGATGACTGCGAGAGTAAGGCCTGTGGTGAGCGAGGAGTGTGCGAGCATGACCCTGTCACTTTGGAAGCCACCTGCATTTGCTTTATGGACGGCACCGTCTTGCTGCCAAATGGGACTTGCATCGGTGCGTACATGATCTCCCTCGCTCTCTCTTCCCCCCTCCCCTTCACTCCCCCCTCTCTACATATTCAAGAAGCTTCATTGATGTGCCATAGCTATAATGGATAACTCTCCCCCTCTCTATCTCTCCCGTCCTCTCTCCACCAATCATCTGCCAGATAAGTGCTGGGCAAGGTGGTGCTGGCCCCCATCCATTTGTCGTGACGATATTACCTGCACATGTGGCGACAACATGATTGGCGAGCCTGGATCTTGTCTCAGTACGTTGTGTATGGGAGTACAGGAAATGGTTGAGCAACGAACCATCCATCCATCCAGAAACATGCGATCACCCACAACGTACCGGAAATCTTCCGACGGAGCAAGTAGTGTTTTCCCCACTACTCCCACAATTTGCAGTCGTCCACTTTTCCGCCATCTCAACTCCATACAATAAACTTGTTTTTAACTTCTGAGATTTCATTGCTCAGTCCAAACCAAACTGCATGCTGACATGTGCAATATCAACAACTGAACGTTTCCCCTCCCTCTCTCCTGCATACCCCCTCTCTCCTGCATACCCCCTCTCTCCTGCATACCCCCTCTCTCCTGCATACCCCCTCTCTCCTGCATACCCCCTCTCTCCTGCATACCCCCTCTCTCCTGCATACCCCCTCTCTCCTGCATACCCCCTCTCTCCTGCATACCCCCTCTCTCCTGCATACCCCCTCTCTCTTGCATACCTCCTCTCTCCTGCATACCCCCTCTCTCCTGCATACCCCCTCTCTCCTGCATACCCCCTCTCTCCTGCATACCCCCTCTCTCCTGCATACCCCCTCTCTCCTGCATACCCCCTCTCTCCTGCATACCCCCTCTCTCCTGCATACCCCCTCTCTCCTGCATACCCCCTCTCTCCTGCATACCCCCTCTCTCCTGCATACCCCCTCTCTCCTGCATACCCCCTCTCTCCTGCATACCCCCTCTCTCCTGCATACCCCCTCTCTCCTGCATACCCCCTCTCTCCTGCATACCACCTCTCTCCTGCATACCCCCTCTCTCCTGCATACCCCCTCTCGTGCCATCCATCCGCCAGTGACATGCGATCACCCAGACGTGAATTGCAGCTTTGAAGAAGAATGTATACCTCAAAGCATCGAGAAGCGGACCCATGCTAAATGCGTGTGCAAGGATGGATACCTTCGCACACACTCAGGCATTTGTGCCCGTACGTATGCTCTTTTTCATTCTTGCAATTCTCTCTTCGTTCCTCTCAAGCGGTCATGTTTTAGAATAGGCAAAGGTGTACAAGCCTTAGCAAGGTAAGGCCGATGTAGCTAGACAACAAGAAGCAAGTCATATGGCATACACAAGAATACATAGAATGCCCCCGAGCAACACCCCCTACCACCCCCCACTCATTGCTCTTTTGCTACCCCGCTGAGACTCTCGCTCCTCCGTGTCACCCTTCACATCCTCGGTCTGCCGAGACTGTGCCGTAGTGGCCTTTGATAGGAGAGATTTGAGAACCCCCCCCCCCCCCCCCCCCCCCCCCCCCCCCCGCCTTCTCTCTCTTTCTCTCTCTCCCTCTCCCTCTCTGTCTACCTTTGCACATTCCCATCTCCCACATACCCCCTCTCACCAACCATCTGCCAGCCACATGCAAACTTTTGGGCGATCCGTCCAGTGTATATTGGTGTGGTATTGACGAAGAATGTCGTGACGACCTCCCCAACGGGATCGCTGGAACCTGCGACTGTAGGGTTGGATACAATCGCTACGACGGACTGTGTGTTGGTAAGTTTGTACATACGCATGTGCTGTCCTTTGTGCTGGTACGTACGTATGTTTGTGCTGTCCTCCATTTTCACCATCTTCATCTCTCCCCCTCCTACTTCACCTCTCTCTTGAGGCTCATCTGCAGTAGCATGTGAAGTCACGCAGCGTTGTGAATGAGGTTTGTGTGGATTACGGAATAATCTGCTTGCGTGTGCAGATTACGGAATAATCTGCTTGCGTGTGTGGATTACGCACGTATGTGCGTGTGCTTGCACAATAGCACAGCTTAATCTGTGTAATCAGGGGAATTTTGATGATTCTGTCAAGCCAATCCCATGAATAATTACCATTCCCCCTGCTGGATCGCCTCTGTTGATCCGTGGCAGTGTGGTGGGTGTCTCATCCTGCATGCCTCACCTGCTTACACACTCCTGTTTTCTCTCTATCTCTGTCCAGAGTTTCTTCATGACAATTGCACTGCTGACAACTGTGGTAACGGCAATTGCGTTGAGCAAAGGCAGTGGTGGTGGTGGACCACCAATCCGCCCTCTCAGTACTGCAAGTGCAACGATGGTTACACACCGGATCCAGTCTCAGGAAATTGCACAGGTACGTGCAATGGATTTGAAAGGACCCGCGTCAGTTCTTCCCCTATGTTTCCCTATGTACCCCGTTATCCCCTTTTTTATTTCTCTTAATCTGAGGCATTGCCACCAAGCTTTGTTGGCCTTTTGGTGTTTAACCATATGAACCCTTCAAACTCCCCATCTCCCCTTCCCCGCCCACCTCCTCTCCCTCTCCCTCCCCTCCCCTCTCTCCCTCTCATCATACTCAATCTTCACCATCCATCTGCCAGTATCATGCCCGGCCATGCCCTGTCCATATGGATATCTTTGTGACACATCTGGACTCTATCCGGTCTGTAAGAAAGGTGCGCTCGCTCGCCAACTTACACACATTCCATCCAATCATCGTCCCTACTCATCATCACCTTCCTTGCTGGAAAATCCTGCTCGCTTCAGTTGGGGAGTGGTGGGAATGGCTGCGCTTGGTGGCCATGAGGAAGGCTAGGTGAAGGTGCTTATCTAGCCACCGTTGGTCACATTGCTGACACGTGGGGAGCAGTCACGTGGCAGTTGTGGCTCTTGTAGACGATTGCTGGTGGTTGAGAGAAGGTAGACAGATTTCTTGCTTTCATTCTGTTGCTGATTTGTACCTGTACCTTTCTGTGCCTTTCTGTACCTTTTTATCCTTCTTGAATTCTGTTGCAGTTAACTGCCCGGCTAACTGTCCTCGTGACTGTGTTTGGAACTCCCAAAAGAGCATCCAAGCTTGCCCAAGTATGTGCTGATGGTCTCATTTTCTTCACCCGTTGCCTTCCCTTTATCATCCACTTGTGCACATTCCACTCCCTGACCCCGTCTCCCCTCTCCTGATGTCCTCTTTCTATCGTTTTGCTCCTTCCTGCATTTCCCTTCTCCACTTCGCTGCCTCACTCGCGTGGCTGACCCACGTATTCATCCCTTCCTGCTCCATGTCACATCCACACCAGCACGCCTCCTGCCAAAGGTCATTGCATTAGTGGCGATGTAGGTTGCTTTCTCTCCCCTCTTCCCCTCTTCCCATCTTCCCCTCTCCCCCTCTCCCCCTCTTCCCCTCTTCCCCTCTTCCCATCTTCCCCTCTTCCCATCTTCCCCCTCTCCCCCTCTTCCCCTCTTCCCATCCCCCTCTTCCCATCTCCTGTCTCCCTCCATCCATCCAACAGACACCTGTGAAGCCATGAATTGTGGACCATTGGAAGAATGTGCGATGGTAGGAGGTGTACCAACGTGTAAATGCAGGAGTGGATATGTCGGCCAGGCGGGATCTTGTGCTGGTATGTGGTGTGCTTGTTCTTTACTCACATGTGTTCTTTGCCTTTCCTTCTCTCCCTCCTATGCAATGCATCTCTGATTGATATTTCTCTCTTTTGTTGTCACTCGTATCGCTGCCTATCTTGCTCGTTTGTCATAACCTCTCTGTCATGCTCTCTCCTCATCCTCTGTCTCATTCTCCCACTTCTCCCTATCAATCATCAAATCCATCTTGCAGCAACATGCAAAGCTCTGTATTGTCCCCCTAACCAACACTGTGTGGAGAAAGTCCCTGGAGGCGCTGGGACTTGCGAATGCATGCCAGGATACGTTGCGCGAGGCAAATACTGTGATGGTATGTAGTATGTTTGGCTTTCCATTCCTCTTATTTTTTCCCTCTCACTTTCCTTGCATATTCTCTCTCTTTCCGTCTTATTACCCTCCTTCCTCTACCACCGTCCCTTCCCCTGCCTCACCTCACTATCCCTCACCACCTCTCTCGTTCTCCCCTCTCTCCACTTACCAGCAACCTGCGCAGTCTATGAATGCGGTGAAAATGAAGAATGCGAGATGGTGAACCTCAGACCAACGTGCAAGTGCAAGCCAGGATATCTTGGGGGCGCTGGATGGTGCAAGCGTATGTGCTTCTCCTCTTCTCTCTAACGGCCTTCTCTCTAACGGCCTTCTCTCTAACGGCCTTCTCTCTCTCTCTCTCTCTCTCTCTCTCTCTCTCTCTCTCTCTCTCTCACACACACACACACACACACTTGGTTTCGGTATCGATGCCCATGCAAACCCAAACCACTTGAGGTGGGCAAGGTAGCAACTCAGATCAATCATGGTATAGGGTTTGAGGTTTGGGGTTAGGTCACATGGCCCGTGGAGGCATCACAACAGACTGCAACATGAAAACACCCTTGATTGTCAGGGTCTTGTCTGAGGAACCCAGAGGGATTTCCGCCTTTGTTACTGCATAGAGCTTGCTGAGGTGGCTGATGGCTTGAT